AACAACACAATAAAAAAAAAAAAAGGTTTGAATTTTACAGTATATGAATTTTATCTCAAAAGAAAAAAAAGACTGAACTTTACCATATATAAACTCTATCTCAGTATTTTTTTTTTTAATGTGATGTCCATTTCTCATTGTACAAAGTAGCATCTAGAACGACGTCTGGCCCACAATAGATACTTAACAAATATTTGTTCAGTGGACATAGTCATTATTATAAGAACTGACTTCTCATCATCATAGGCGCGACTGTTTTTGTCTGCTCAGCTCCTCACACCCCACGCTCCTTCTGGTAACAGTGATAATCCAGCCGTCACGAGAACACCCATGCACCTTCTTCGTCTTTCCTCAGGATTTTTCCCACCTGAAATGAGTGATACAGGTACCTTTTTCCTTTCTGGTCCCAGAATTTGTGCCGGGTCAGCCTGAATGGTCGTCTCCTTCTGGCAGAGAAGTGGGCCCGTGGCCTGAGGCTGCCGAGAAGAGGAGAAGCAGAAATGAGAGAGAAGTGGAAAAGAATCTACGGGGTTGACCCCTTGGACCCAGTTGTCCCGGGGCCACACCCACCCCTGTACTTTCCTAGGTGGGGTTACCTGAGTCAGCGAGTTTCCCCTCCCTCCCTTTAAATAAAACTAGTTTCTATCACCTGCTAAGATTGCGGAAACCAGTCCTAACATTAATAGTGAACGTAAGAGCCAACGGTTACGAAATGTTAACTCTCCGCCAGGCACATTTTACGCACTTACCTCAGTCAACCTTCACCACACAACCCTGTGGGTTAGGCACTCCTTTTACCCAAGTGACAGAACGGAGAGAACTTCGGAACCTCACAGAGGTCCAGCACTTTGTCAAGGTCTCACAATGTGCACCCTCGGTGGAGCCAGTATCCCTGTGGCATAGACACCGTTTATTTTCTATACTTTAAGCTGTTTAAGGGGAAAATTGGGAACTTTGAAATCGGCTTAAGGCAGTGCTTCTGGGCTGTGGCTGCACAAGAGAACCACCTGTGACACTTTAAAAGCAATCCCATCAGTCAGGCCACACCCCGTGATCAAGCAAATGCAAGTCTTCTGGTTAGGGTCCCAAGTGTCGGTATTTTTTTTTCCCCAAGCTCCCTGGTGATTCCCCATGTGTGGCCCTGGTCAAGAACCCCCTCCTCTAAGGCTTAGGATTTATCTTTATCACGGAAGACGCTGCATCCCCCCCCTTGCTGTATAACAGAGAGTAGAGATGTGCTTGATCCTCCACCAAATTAAATTGGAATCCAGGATTAAATTGGAATTTCCAGAATTAAACTGGGGTTTCAGTTAAAAACATTTTGAAGGCAGAAAAATAGGACTTCTGTGCAGTATTATATATATATATATATTATATATGTATATATATTATATACATATATAATATATATATTAAAGTATTGTTTATTTGGGCCACAAAGAAAGGTAGTCAGAACAGTAACCCTAAATTGTATTAAGCCCCCAGTGATGCACAGCTGTTGCCAGTACAGCCAGCTATCAAAACCGGAGAGACACAGGAAGAATATTATCTGAGCCTTGGTGGCACCAAATCACTCCATGTTTGGGTTTTAACACCTGCATCCTGGCTCTGATAAAATAGCTATAGTAATAATAATGTATGTCCCCCAGACAGTGGGGCTTTCAGCCATATCTCCATGCCATTTTCAGGGAGTGTCTAAAAGGACAAAGACTTTTTCTTCGGCGGAGACTTGCAGAAGATACAATTTGGGGTCTGTCACTGCGTTTATCCATCAGTCTGTCAGTGGGTTGTAAGGAACTAATTCATCACTCCATTCTTTTTCTCTTTTCCTGCAAGGAGAGTTGCCAGTGAGGTTCTCAATGTGGCCTTTTAGACAGAAATAAAGCTGTCCTTTTCTCAGAAAAGTGTTTTATTATATTCTCTTGATGAGCCTGAGCTACGCTGGATTCTAGCCCGTGGGACAAAAAGGATGGCAGGGTTGAAAACATTAGCTTGCACCTGCTGGAAGTGTTTGGACCCATCTGCCAAGTAGACATGACCTCACACTACCCTTTCAGCTTTATGTCTCCAGACTCATTCTAGCCCTACTGAGGGGGCAGCCCCACCCTCAGGCCACTTTCTGTAAAGGTTCTTTTTCCATATGTTAAATTTGTGTGCTTTGGTGGGTAGGAAGTATAATGGCACAGACAGTTGGCGTGGGGGTTAAAAAGACAAGATTTGGACCCAGGCAGTCTTGGGTTCTGTATTAGCCAGCTCCAGTGGCCCTAACCACCTGTGTGGCTTCAACAAAAGAAATTCCTTTTTTTTTCCTGGAGGCAGGAAGTCCAAGATCAAGGTGCAGTAAAATTTGGTTCCTTGGTGAGAACTCTCTCCTGGCTTGCAGAGAGCCGTCGTCTCTCTATCCTCAGATGGTGGAGGTAGAAAGACCTATGGCTTCTTCCTGCTCTTGTAAAGACACTAATCCCATCATGGGCACACCATTCGCAAGATTTCATCCAAACCTGATCACCTGCCAAAGGTCCCACTTCCAAATACTATCACGTGGGGGTTAAGGCTTCATTATATGTATGAACTTTGTGAGGGGAGACACAAACACTCACTCCATAACACCCTCTGAACCTATATTTATCAGGATTCTTTTCACGGCAAGTGACAGAAAGCCCAGATCAAAACTGGATTAAGTGCAGAAATGACTTTGTTGATTCACCTGAAAAGTCCAGGGATATTTTAGCATGAGGCACGTCTGGATGCAGGGGCTCAAATGGTAACACCTGGAACCATTCTCTCGTCTTTCACTTCCTTCCCTGGCGTAGGTTTTATTCTCAGATAGGCTAAGGTGTCCCCGTCTCCTATAGGCTCGCATTCTATAGCCTGAGCCACCCGAGCCAAGAAAAAAAGACAGCAGATTCCCTAAATCTCCAACAAAAGTTCCATACCTGGTTCTTATTGGCCTCCTATGCCCATCTCTGAACCAATAAAAGAGGCAGAAGCATAAGATATTCAGACTGGCCAGTTCTCAGGCACAAAAAGCCCCAAGTCAAATCTACTTGAGCTGCATGCTAATGACAAGGGGGGAAATGTTGAATGAGACAGCAGAGCCCCACTTTCTCAGTCCATAAAATTGAAAAATGGTAACAAACTTTCAAGGCCACTATGGGAATGCAATTAAATAATGCTGTTAATGAAATACTGCATGGCACCAACAGCACCACCTGGGACTAAATAGATTGTTAATTGTGCACACACATGCACGCACGTGCGTGTGTTCCAACGTTCTCATTCCGTAAGGACCTGCCCTTGACATACTTGCTTCCCCTTAGCATAGCATAGCATAGCAAATGTACGTCTTCTGTAACGCACGGTAGAAAGCATTACTCAGGCATACTGGCCTTCCTGAGGCAAGATGTTAATTAATGAGACCTCAGCAAAGATGAGTAACTCTTCCAAAAGGGACACCTCCAGAGTCTCTCAAGAGGGAGAGACCAATGCCCCCTAAATGCTTTGGATGAGGAAGCCACCAGGGTCACAGGAATTTCCCACGGAAATGTAAACGGACAAAGGAAAGGCTTCATCTTAAATGTCAGCTGATAGACCAGTTATCACTCAGCACCCTCAGCAGGGATTCTTTGAAATAGGACTTGACAGACACTCTGGAGGGAGAAGGGAAAGGAAGGCACATAAGGTGATAGCAGAGAGAGAAAAGGGTGCCTAATTTCTGCTTTTAATTTTTCCTGGGGCAGTTTTCATACATTTCCCTGTCAAATCTGGGCTCGTGAGACACTTAGAAGAATGATGGCAGCTTCAGTGAAGAGAGACCCTATGTGCCAGACTCTAGACAAGGCACTCAGGAGTGTGATTTTATTTAATCCCAGCTCCCCCTGTGCCCTACCTGTGTGGCCTTGGGCAAGTTACGGCAGCTCGAGGAGATGCCATTTCTTTTTTTTTAGCTGAAATACCCAACAGTAATGAGCTAACACGTATTTACTATATACTGGGCATGTTTTTACATGTATTAACTAATTTAAGCTTTATAATATCCCTATAAGTAGTATTATTTCTATTTTACGAATGAGACTACTGAGGTTCAGAGAGGTTAAGTAATTTGCCCAAGGTCACATGGCTAGTAACTGAGAGCCCAGATTTGAACATAGATAAAGGCCAAGCTTTTGGTTTCTATATTGCCTCCTAACACTGAACTTATCAAACAGTGGATGCTCAGGAACATAAACTGTTAATGCTATTTCTCTAGGCTATTAAGGTGTTAATAATAGAGGAAAATTTTTTCATCAACATTATCAGTATTAGAAGTTTCAACAAAGCTATATTCAAAGGTATTCTAAAGGTATTTAATTTGGAAAATAAAAATAAGAGAACAAACTATCATGTGCTATCTACATCGGTAACACTTGGAGGATTTTAAAGCAAGCAATAGAAACCTATCCTAACACATTCAAGAAAGAATGAATTAGTTATTGAAAGGATGCTTGAAAGGTCATAGAAATGAACGGGAGAGCTAAATATATATATGCTAATATATAGACATGGATGGATAGATTAATCAAAAATGGGATTAAGATGGGGTAACTCCTTTCATAATGTATATATATTATCAATGTATTTACCATATTCATGATGTATGCTTTAAAGATCTTATAATTTCATCAGAGGGACAGAAGCAGAAATTCATCAACAGTCTCAAACATAAATGACTTTGCTTCAATCACCTCCCACCCCGTGTCTTGGTTCAAGATTCAGATTGCCATGAGAGAGCTCAGATTGCAAAGCGTGGGCCACTGACTCAGCCCTGTAGCCAGGGGGCAGAGTTCAGAGCCCATGCAACACAGGGAAAGGGTAGTTCCCCAAAGGAAGTGACACAGAGCAAACCAAATAGCCAATGACAAAATACAACTACTCCTGTAACACCAAGACTCCTTCTAAGAATGACAGGACTTCATGGGAGGAGAGGTTCCCATCTAAATTTCAGATCATTGGAAGAGCTTCCAGACAGCCAGAAAGGGCTCAAATCACGGCCCTGTTATACTCCGTCAAGAGTCTGAAGTGCCTCAGACCCTCCTTGAGATTCAAGGCCAGAGCTGGCGAAGGACCTTCAAGGTACTTAAGCAGCTTCCCAAGGTGCGGCACCCAGAAGAAAATGCTAACTGGATTTATGGGGCACGTTATTGATAAACCCAATGACCATGTGTCATAATCAGTATGCCGATGGAGAAGCAAATGGCACTAAAGGCTTTGTATTAACCAGACAGACCCTGAGCGTGATTTACATGTTGAGTGCAAACTGCTCCCAGGGGTACCCAATATGACAGGTCTAAACTGCCTCTTCTGCCTTTGCTTCTTGACTCCTTCCTCCACGTCTGAAAGGATTCAGTAGGCAGCATGACCTTTACAATGTCATCACTGCCTGTTACATCTGTGCCTGGAACTGGACATAGAGATGTACAAATAAACCACACCCATG